ATATATATATTGGATCATCTGTCATTTCAGTATGATTTTTTGCCAAAAAAGATTTCTGGGACTATCCTGCTGTAATGAACCTAGTTTTTGTAAGATTATATTTGTCAACTATATTAGTTGTCTAGATCTAAAAATATTTTAATAGAGTTTCATTAATTTTTTAAATGATTTAATATAAAAAGGTTGCTTTAGATATATTTTTGTTTTTGTTTCAAAAGCTTGATAGTAATTCTTAATTTGAAACAGATAAGTAGTTTTGATGATGTTAAATTTGAAGCAGCTAGCGTACTGGCTGATCTATATGAAAAGAAAGTAAGTATTTAATTTTTAATCATATTTATTATTTTTGTTTGTGCATTTAAAATTAAAATTGATTTTGTGTGGTGTCTTGCCATTTGTGTAAGGATGCAGCAGAAGCATGTTTTAGAATGAGGAATCTGCGTGTTTTTTTTTTTATATATTAAAATGAAACTTCATGTCATCTTATGAATATAGACACCAATTTCAGATAGTTTAAATAAAATAAAAAATAGTTTAAGAGAGGAAGTTTATGATTGGTTTAATATAAACATGGTATCTGCTCACCTGGAAAGTCATGGATTTTGTTATTGAACACAATTTGTCATGAAATGTCATGGTTTTTACTATTTTTAAAAAAAATCATGGTAAATCAAGTTTTTAAAATGGAATATTCCCCTCCCCAATTTCATACTGTTATAGAATATCTGAATTAATAACAAAATCCCAACTCACAGTCATATTTTATTAAAATATAAAATGTTTTCATTGTGTTCTCTAAATATTATGGTGTTCTTTCAAAAAATGAAGAAAAAGCATCATTTCTAGAGTGAATTAGCTTTCAAACTTCTGTGATTTCAGAATTTTTTATATTTATTTAATTGTTTGTTTTTTTATTTTATCAATTTAAAAATTTTGCTTTAGCAAGCCAGTCGTTGTTGAATTTTTTTTATTCCAAAATAAGAACAGAGAAATCAAGAATATCTCTTTCCTTCCGGAACAAGGAAAGTATCTTTAGAATATAATTCTATAGAAGTAAAAGAGAGAAAAAATTGTTTTTGTATTTTTTTCAGCTATTTTATTACTTCAATTCTTTCTTCACTCTGTTTTTTTAAATTTAAAATCTATAAATATGAAGATGCAGAGTATAACAGGTTTGGTTATACTCATCATTTCAATTAATGTTATTATAATACTTTTTAAAATTTATTTTCGGGCTTTTGTCGAAAAATACAGTAACTTCGTCAAATCGTGAAAAATTCTTGGGGTTAGTCATGAATTTGAAAATCTAAAATGTAGCAGATACCTTGTATAAAATAATCAAGTTCCACTAAATTTTATTCCCCGCTATAGCGAACCTTCAAGAGACCGAGATTTCGGTTTACTATAATCAGGAGTTACTACATTCGTTCCTCAGACAATTTAACTATTGGTTCCAAACTCCTCCTTTTATTACGCATTATTTAAATAAATGACGGAAAAATAACATGTAGTAGCAAAAAATGTTTTAACCTTTTATTTTTATTGCGAATATTGGCTTGATTGCGAATATTGGCAATTTTAAATTTTTCTGTTTATGTCCATTTTACCTTCAATGAAAAATGTTTTGCATTTGCTGCTCGCCATAGTTTAATTTGTGACACTTATTTGCAGGATTCTTTAACTGAACTGAGAATAAAAACGAGTTGAAATCAGTGCCTTATCTTCACAGATTAGTGTCCACCCCTTTGACCGTTAATGAATAACTACGCATTCCAATGCACTCTCTCTAATAGGAAATAAATATTGACCCCACTGGTCCCCTTGCAGGTGCAACATCTGCTGGTGTTCGTCATTGTTTAGGGATGGTAAAGTGAGATAAAAGCAGCAAACAAGAAAAAATGCTTCTTGCTATATTCCATGCTATACATGGTTTTAAAAATTGGCATATGTATTTATTTTGAAGTAGAAATTTCAAAATTACTGTAAAAAAATGAAGGGAAAAAATTAGTCGAAGAGAGAAAAAAAGTTCATTATATGCTCTCTTCCTTTGGTTTACTATGTTCACGAAAATGACATTATAGGTGTATAACGAGGGACGGGAGCTATATCCAGGAGTTCACTATAGCAGGATTTAACTGTAATATAGCGTATTTAAAAAGTGCTTAAAGGTGCTTATTTTTTAAAAGCCCTTAAAAGTGCTTTTTTTTTATTTGGGGTTTGTAAAAAGTGCTTAATTTTCTATCCTTTAAAAAGAGACTTTTTGATTTGCCATATCGATTGTCGTTTTAACTTACAAAAAATGCATGATTTTCAAAATTTTCTCTACAATATTTATCAGAAACTAGTTAATTTATCATGATTACGTAAATTTTTTTAAAAATGTTTTTGAATTTCAATAATTTTATGTTCATAAATTAAGAACTTTAAACGATAGAATTTTTTTTATTTTTTATATTACTGCTCAGATCCTAATCATGATTTTTTTTTGGAAAGTGATTAAAAATATTTTTTGAGTTCTTGAAAAGTACTTAAAAGGTGCTTATTTTTTGTTGAAAAATCTGGTTATGCACCATGATCTAAAATTTATGGAATGATTCAATTATTCGATCGATTATTAGAACAATTCGGCACTCGTGGTTATGCGATCGATTGTCCGATATGCAATTAAGTGACTGCACATTCATAATGTTGTGCTTCAATATAACCTTAAACTCAGAGTACAAAGTTTATGTTTTTTTCAGAATCAGTTGCATTTGGCTAAATCAATGCTTGGTAAAGCAGTTGAAATCTCACAGCAGTCACCGTTCTGGCATTGTAGATTGCTTTTTCAGCTTGCTGTAAGAATTTTTTTTTCTTCTCTCTATAAAGTGTTTTTTTTATTACTGCTTTTATTTTATTTAATTTTAAAAAATTTATTTCAGCATTTTCATGCTACCGAAAAGGAATACACTTCTGCTTGCAATATTTTAGGAGTTGGTGCAGAATACGCTCATCTTTCGGGCGCACATTACACTCGAATACTTTTCTTACTGAGCAAAGGAATGGTAAGCACTTCATATATTCTTACATGGCCTTATTAATGTTACATCATTCAATTTCCATTTTGTTATTTTTATAAAATTCTCAAATTGTTTGGAGGTTTTTGTCAAATTTTTTTTGAATGTATATCATTGATATCGATTTGTTTATATAGAAAAATAATGACAGTCATTGAGAATTATCAATTATCATCATTGTGATTCTTGCAACTAATGCTCTTTAGGTGATTAGCTGAAAAAATTAACATTTAGAACAACTTAATCTTCTTTAGAATTTACTAATTAAAATATTTTTTAAAAAAATAAGGCTCAGGCCTAGTTATATAAAAAAATTCAAATTTTTTAAATTTAAAAAAAAAAGTATTTTAGAACTGAATTTTATTTGAAACAGCGCAAAACTATTTTAAAATTTAATAGCCTTAAAACTAATTCATAATTTTTTTTAAAAAAAGAAACAAAAACATGTTTTTATTCACTCATAAGAGTATGTTATTTTTTAAAAAAATATATCGTTTCCTTTGCAGCTAAAAATTGTCAAAAAAAAAAGGCTAGACTGAAAATATAATGATTCCAAAACTTATTTGAAATCTTAATCAAAGGGCTTATCTTATGCATCTTCAAACACAATGTTACATGTCTTTTAATTTTCCTTAAATTGACGTAAAATTAAAGGATTCGACATAAAATAACTTTAAAACTGACGTCTACATCAAAAATATTTTAATATCAGAATGTTTCTTAAAAAATTTCCCACATTTGAAATTTGCTTCTTCTTCAATATCAGGAGATCATATATATTTTTCTTGGTTAAAAATGTACTTTTATGTTTGAAAATATTTATGTAATGTAATTTTATATACCTTTTAAAATGTTTTTAAATTAACTTTTAAGTGATGTTTCATTCCCTATTATATTTGTTAACTAGGTTTTTCTTTATTGTAAAAGTTTATTACCTATAGAGTATATAAATACTATATAGGTGTTAAATAATTATGTCAATATTAAAATTTGTTCGAAAAATGTTTTAAGTCCAGAAAGACTGAAAATTATTGTATACTTAAAAAATTAGAAAGGGCCAGTGTGGTCCTTTTTTTGATATAAAAATCTGTTAAAACCATTTAAAATATTTTTAAATTAACTTTTAAAGGATGTTTCTTTCCCTATTATATTTGTTAACTAGGTTTTTTCTTTATTATAAAAGTTTATTACCTATAGAGTATATAAATACTATATAGGTGTTAAATAATTATGTCAATATTAAAATTTGTCCGAAAAGTGTTTTAAGTCCAGAAAGAAAGAAAATCACTGTATACCTAGAAAGTCGAAAAGGGCCAGTGTGGTCCTTCTTAGATTTTTTATTTTTTGATATAGAAATCTGCATAAAAAAATAATCTAACAAGGATCATTGGAAGTCAGTGGGAAAATGTGTTATGACTTTTTATATTATATTTTCTTTGTTTAGGCAATTGACCTTCCATTCTCCGTAAATGAACAACACTCTTCGAATTAATGAAACTGAAGACACAACTCTAATTTATTTTTATTTTTTACCAATCCCCAGGGCCTGATTATCGCCTGGGCCCAATAGGCAAGGGCCTAGGGCCTCAAAAATTAGTAAAAATAAATCAAAAAAAATAACAGATTTACAATAATTACAGATTATATAGTTTTAAGGATAATAATTACAGAAAATAATTACTATCAAAATACTTTATCATAGAAAATAATCTTCAATTGTCTGCTTTCGAAATTTCTTAGAATCTTGAATCATGCAGTTCAATAGATTCTTTTCTGTTGTTAGGACTAATTACTAAAAATATTATGTAAACTTCAGCAATTTAATTTTGAAATATTTTGTAAGGGGCCCAGAGAATTTAGTGGGCCTAAATTTGTCTTGATCGGTCCATGACAACCCCCCTCTTTTCCTTTTTTTGCAACCTGGACATGCGATTTCCCTAGCAGGATATTGCATTTAATTCTTTTTTTACATACTGCTTTGAGAGTTTCATTTATTTAACTGCATTTTATGACACAAACTCATAATAGCTGGAAAATGTTTTCAAACAGAGCTTCTTCTTTCCTTTCCCCTCTTCATGTAAAATCGAAACATTTATAGCTAGTTATTAACATCTAAAACTATAATTTAGTTTAGTTTTGAGTAATTTGGTTACAAAACATTTCTATTTCAAAGTATCGTCTCTTGCCCTCATTCTAGATATAAGTTACAATATTTACTCTCCTATGAGGCAGGTTTTGACCTTAATGATTAAATAAATAAAATAATATATGTTATGAAACATCAGGAAATCACCTTATTTTCAGTGAATTACTTTTAGAATTCAACAAGAAACCTCGCTTTTCTAGTGCTGAAGTGAAAATTTTTCCTATCTTAGTAAAATTCAAAGATGAATAGAATAATGCATTTTGTTGCATCTATTTGTACGTATTGTTATTATCATAAAAGTAAGACAATTCTAAGCCACTCCACAGGTTTAGCTAGTAAATAAATTAAAATAGTTTACGACGTATCTTTAGCATTCATTATAATAATTTATCAATTTATTTTCTAATCCTGCTGTAATTATATATATATTTTAAACAAGTCTTAAATATGTATATTTTGTTTTAACTGAAATTGTAAATAAATAAATATATGATATGATTAAATTTTTGTTTTGAACTGTTTAAAATATTTTATTAACTATTGTGGATGCTTAGTTTTTTGACAATGAAATCTTTGTAGCTGCTGATGATTGACCGTAAGCTACAGGAGGTCCACCAAGTGCTCTCATTGGCTGGGCAGTTAGTGGAAAACTGGCAGGGTAGCACAGCCCAGAAGGAAGCTCTCAAGGTTTTCTTCCTTGTTTTGCAAGTCTGCCACTACCTCACTGCAGGACAGGTGCTTATTCCTAGCAATTCTAAGCTTATGGAATTATCAGAAAAATTGTTCTGATAATTCTAAACTTATAGAATTATCAGAAAAATTGTTCTGATAATTCTAAGCTTATAGAATTATCAGAAAAATTGTTCTGTTTTTTTTTCTTCTAAATTAATATATTTGTAAAAGTACACTATAAGAAAATTTAATTATAAATATTATGATGGTTTGGTAAAGAATGATCTTAAAATTAAGTTATGTTATCGATATAGAAAACAATTACTGTCCATCCGATAGATACTACACAGATATATATATATATATATTTTAATATTAACTTAAAATTCGTACAATAAAAAAAATTTTGCATATCATGTACAGGGGTCTGTCAAGGTTTTTCTGAGAGGCACCTATTTTGTGAAAATTTTTGATATAATTTGTGAAAATTAAAAATTATATAAAAAATCAGCACAAAAATATGGATTTATCGTTTTTTATGGAATACCGAAATAAAATTTAAAAAAAAATATTTTGTGAAATTTTTCCTACAGTTGAATTTGTGAAGGTACGGCTAAACGGTAGTAAGTTTGGCCTGGACAGAACCCTGATGTACTACTAAGAAATGTTTCTTTCACTAACACTGACGATTTATGCGCAATCATTTTTGTTACACAATCGTATCAAATTTAAAAAAATACTTAATTATGAATGGATCCTGAAATTTTTATGAAATCCGCAATAAATGAAATTCCCATATTAATTTTATTTATATAACGTTTTCTAATTTTAAATTTTTTTTTAAATCTAGTAATTTTGTTTGATTATCATTGCAATTTTATCCACATAATTATTGTTACTATAGATAAATTTTAAATGGCCTAAGAAATTGCGTAGAAACAGTACAAAAAATTAATTCCTTATATTTGCTCTACTATTTTATATGTTTATCATTAGACAGCGGATTATATGCACTAAAAAACGGACAAAATATGCACTAAAAACTTGACTATATGCTCTTAAAACTAGAAATATGCATTTAAAATAGAAATTAAAAGTTCAACTTATTTAAATACTACTACTTACTTTTTCCAACAAACACAGCTAAAACATTTTTCTGTTAAAGGGAAGAAAATCAAAATATTTCTTACTTGAATCTACACATTTCTGAAGAAAAAGCCTAAAACTGAAGTATGATAAATGAGAGAAGAAAAATCATCGCATTTTCCGGAAAGATTTTATTAAACTGAATAATTTTTGTTGCAATACACAACTAAGTGTTTTTCCAAATTTTCAAGGGTGAATTGATGTCGTCGGTCATCAAAGATCATTTTGAAAGCAGAAAATGACCTCTCCACGTCAACCGATGTTATTGGACAAAACTTGTACAATTTCGTACTCATTGGTTTTACTTTCTCTGGAAGTTCAGTTCCGTTTCCATTAAGAAAATCATTTATCTTCTTCACTGCTGCAAAACCCGAATTTTTGTTTTGAACGAAATACCATTTTTCTTTTACTTTCTTCCCAACTGAGTCTGGAATTTTTCAATTTTGGATATGGCCTCAGCCAGGGGAAGACCTCGTGTTTCGAGCTTTGTTATTGCTCCACTTAAGAAAGAAAAGTGAGTGTCAATTATGGCTAAGTCCTTCTGCAAGGAGATATCCTGTAGTAATTCTTTTGTGACATAAACTGAAGAAGCACAGGAGCTGTCAATTGCATCTACAACTGACTTTATTGCATCAAAATTATTAGCGTAAAAACGTGGAGCTTCAATCCATGTACCCTACCTAGTTATCACAGGCTGTGGAGGTAAGGGCGAATCAGGATGCATTACTTTATACAATTTTATGCGCACAGGTGCCTTGAGAAAAACTTTCTTGATACTAGAAATTAAATCATTCACAGAGGAGAATACTTCTCGAACAGTCTCAGCCAGTCTGTGAACAGCATGAGCCAAACATGTAATATGAAGCATTCTGGGATAAAAAATTTCCAGTGCTGCTGCAGATTTGACCATATACGGAGCGGCATCACTGACAAAAATCAAAACATCTTCAGAACCATCTCTATCAGGCCATAATAATCTGATAGAATCATTGACAAACCAACTTTTTCAAGGGTTTGCTTGCTAGAAGATGTTGTCAAGTAGGAATATTATCCATTTTTCCACAAATAAAATGAGCAATATAGCGACCGCACTTATCTGTCTCATCGACTTCAATCCATATAGGGCCATCTCCAATATCTCGTCGAATATCATCCAGTACTTCGTTATATATCGGTTGAAGGTAGTTCTTTCTTAAAGTTGATTCATCGGGAATGATCTGATTGGTACAATATTTTTTTAAAAACTGTCTTAAGTTTGGATTATTTAACTTTTTTAAAGGAATATTGCTGCTTACTAAGGCTTTTCATGAATCACTAGAAAAATCACTTTCCTTTTTAACTGCTTGAACAGGAATAGCTAATAAACTTTGAACAAATCCTTTTGTATTCTGCTTTTTCTTCGCGGAGGGAGCATTAGTCTTTATATGTTGATCGATTTGGTACTTTTTTTCCACAGGAAATGTGTTTTTGACAAATCACACAAAATACTATTTCCCCATCGATCGTAAAGTCCTTCCCATAGTCTGAAATCCATGTCTTCATTAAATTTGATTTAGTCGACTTAATTTTTGGCTTATTACAAAATTTAGCAGTCAAAAATCACGTTCGAAGCTTCACTACCTACGTATTCAACTGATGGATGTCGAAACTATCTATCTATCGGATGAACTATCAAAATACGTTAGAATAGCAGCTCTCTCAGAAAATGTATTCACTCCACCTTTTAACTAATCAATCACGGGAAAGGGAGGTCATTTTCTACCTACCACAGAAGCCTTATTTTTTCCTCACAGATTGACAATTATTTATTCCAGGAAAAGACATCCCTCCATAGAATATCTGACCATCCCTTTCTGAGGTTTCTATGATGAATGTCTGTTTGGGTGCGCCCTTTGTACCCCCCCTTCCCGACACACACCTCATTTCTACATCTTTTTCACATGATTGCAATCACCCCCAGCAACATCAATCCAGCTGACCCTTTCAGGTGATAAAGAACGACAAAACAAAATTTAAAGCGTTCCTTATGCTAACATAAAAAGAATAGTGATATGGTTTTAGGAGGTAAAAGCCTTGAAAATATGCATTTATAAGAGCAAATATACCTTTTTATGCATTTATATGCACAAATGGCAAAAAGTGCTAAAAGTGCTAAAAAGTGCTAAATGCAATTGCATACGTGCATATGCAATTGCATATGCACGTATGCAATTGCATATTATCCGTTGTCTATTTATTATGTATTTAATATTCTAATTGCATGTTGACTAGACACAGCTTTACTTAAAATAAAATTTCATAATATTAAACATGTCTTAGTTATTTGTTTAATGATTGTAAATTGATAACTAATGTTTATCAACAGGGGTCTGTTTAGAAGAAATTTGGGTCCTTTAACAGCATATCTTCACAAAATATCTTTTCTTAAAAATGGACCCTTCACGAAATATTTGAACTTAAAAATGGACTCTTCAAAAAATGGTTTTTCTTTTAATCAGACCCTTCACAAATTTGTTTATCTTCATTATTGTTTTGTTAATCAAATAAACCCTTTCCAGGGGCGAGAACAAGAAAGACAGATGTAAACGAATTAAGTTTTGTCTTTGGCAGACGCTTCTTCCTTTATTCGTCCGAGATTAATATTCTGCGTTCAGCAGTATAGGCTAAATACCAAAGATTTGTATGTTGCATCTCTAATTTAGTAGCAGCAATTGCTGTTTATTTTTTAAATTTTAATTTCTTTTAATTATCATTTTACAGTGTTGAGCATAATCTTGTATCTATTTACAATTTAGAAACTTCTTGAAAAAGTTTTTTGAAATAACCGAACCCTATTTGCACAAATTCATAAAAGGAGGACCCTGGTTGAAAGAATGTGACTTAACGCTTATTTTATGTACACAAATTACGAGTCATTTTTTCACAATTTTACAAAAACCGGACCTGTCACAAATTGTCTGGGCAGACCCCTGATCAAAAAATGTAGCGTAATGAGATTATATTGTGAGAATACTTTAAATTATAATAAAGGAACACCACTTTTAGCTTTAAGACTAAATTTTGTAGTGCTTATCAAGATTCAAGTAGTTGGAAATATCTTCATAAATTTTTGTTAAATATATATCTATAATCAAAATAGAACTGAATAAAGTATCCTTCAAATAAGAGGTGAAAAGGATTTTATTAATTTTCTGCTAAGTGTGTGTTTTAATTAAAGATACTTTGATCGAAATTTTGTGATCAAATAAGACTGACAACAGTGAAAAACGGTTTTGAACATCATCTTTTCATGTTATAGAAATGAATAAAAATTAATACAAAAAATAATATTTGTGTTCATAAGCCCCGTGGCAGAATCGCAGCGACATTGCAACAGAACGTTCTTGCAGAAAGATTTTTCTTTTCTACCGAAATGTGTGTAATATTTGAATCATGCATTAAAATAATCACTTTTTGACGCTCTCAATTTAATCAATTGTATTTTCGGCAGTTATTGATATTGATTTTCATGTGGATTTTAAATATCCTGATATATTTCAAACAATAAGGAAAATTCGAATCTTGCAGATGAGCATTTACTTTTTAAGGCAATAATTCTATCGAGTTTTTGGCAGTTATTGTTATTGATTTCTCCATGGCTTTTAAATCCGATATTTTTTATGCGACATAATTCATTACTCCAACGTAATCTCGAAACACGCATCTGAGGAGCCTGGTTCACGTAATTTTGTCCTCGATCTTTTTAATTACTACTACGGGTTTCATGATTTTTAGTTATATTTTTTTTCTTGTGATAATTATTTACAAAATGTGAAGAAGGAAATAATTTGTGTGCCCCCCCCCCACAAAATTCGAGAATATCAACCATAATATTAGAATAAAAAATTATTACATGTGTTATTAAAAAAAATTATCTAGTTTTTTTTTGTAAACATAACGCTTTTGTTATTTTGAATAAGTAATATATATGTTTGTTATTATAAAAAGTATCTTGCAGAAAGATATTAGTGCTGTCGCAGATAACTGGAAAAAATTCTGCCGCAGTGCTCATAAGTAGAATGGTTTTGCCGAATTTAAAAAAAATTTTTTTTCAAATAAAGAATTTGCAATTGAGTGCTACGTATTTTATGGCAATTTAATTCCATAATCTTAGTGTAGTATACATTCTTAAGCTGTGACCTATCAAAATACTCCATAAAAACTGCAGTTCATACGTCATTTGCAGTTTATACCTCTTTATCAAATAGGAAAGCAAAGTATGCATATTGGGGTTTGTATATTAGTATTTAAGCGAGATTTCACAAATTTCAATAATTATTTAAAGCATGAAAATAAGTTTAATTGAGATTTAAAGGTCTTTTTAATAATGCATGGTGCGTAGCGTTTTTAAAAAGTGCTTAAAGGTGCATATTTTTTATTTTCGTTATTTAAAAGCCCTTAAAGGTGCTTTTCTCCTGGGTGTTTTTAAAAAGCGTTTAATTTTTCCTTTTCAAAAATGAGATTTTTTTTTCATTACTATGTCTATTTTCGCCACATATTATGCAAAAGCGTGCTTTTCTCATTGTTCTATTCAGTGTTTTCCAAATTCATTTTGGCATACCATCGGTTCATTACGTGTAAAAGTGACAATCATTATACATGTTTGATGAAATACTTGTGAGTCCTTATGTGCATCTACCGAGCTGGGATCGGTGAGATTATTGCCTTCTCGTGTGCAACTATGCTGCATTTTGCAAGTTATTCTCAATTTCAGGCTTCATTTTCCACCCTCTGATATTGAACCGAAAAATCACTCGATCATTTTATAACAGCCAATGTAATCCAGAAAAGAGTTCTTTGTCAGAAACTAGTTGTTTTCTCATGATCATCTAAAGTCTTTTAAAATTATTTTGCGTATTGTTAATGTATATAGTGCTTAAATATACTTTTTGTGTGCGTAAAAAGTACTTAAAAGGTGCTTAATTTTTTTGGAAAGATTTGGCTATGCACCCTGTAATAGTTCTAGGTTTAATTTGCTTTACTGTTATATACTGACTGTATTTTTGACTTTTTACCTTGCTTTAATATTAATTTTTGACCCCATGTAAACATACTTTTTGTCTTCAATTTCGATAACTGTTAAGAAAATAGTTTTTAAGGACGGTATTTGCAAAACAACTCTGAAACACTCATACAAAAAAGAGTAAGAGAAATAGTTTTCTTTAAAAAGTGTGTAAACATTAAAAAATACGTGCATGACGAATTTTCAAAAGGCTATCTTCTTAAAAAATAATTCTTGTTCAAAACATCTGAATTTTGGTTTAAACAAATAATTTGAAAAAAAAAGAAAACTTTTTAAGATAATAATTTAAACTCAAATAGCTTCATTTTAATTAATAATGACAAAATAACCTCATTATTTTTCATCAATATGTTCTTCGTTAGAAACTTTCAATGAAATAAAAGTAAAGAAAATCATTCATAATGTAAACCATTCATAAATTCATCCAGGGCAATTTTTCAACAATTCTCATTGGTAGATTTTCTAAGTTGCCTTACTTTTTTATTTAATAATTTTAGGTAAAAAGTGTTAAACCCTGTTTGAAACAGCTACAACAAGGCATTCAAACGATTACATCTTTACATGCTGATGAAGGTAATACACTTTTATTGATTTATGCCAGTGTTTCCCAAAGTGAGGTACGCTCACACCCAGGGGTACGGTAGCAGTTTAGCGGGGGTACGCGTTCTTATGCGAAATATCTTGCAACAAACAAAAATTTCACAGAATTTTATTTGAAAACAAAGCTAGAAAGCATGAAAATTTACAATTATGTATTTTTCTATTGGCTATTTTTGTAGAGTTAACAGTAAATAATTAGTAATATCAACAACGAGTTGTGACTTTTAACTTTTGTGCAATTTTTTTATAGCAAAAGTTTGTGATAAATTCTATTTATTTTGATTATATTTATAAAATATAATTTTTATCCTTCTTGAAAAATAAACATGAGGAGTGTACTTTAACATCATTCTGGCTGTAAATGCAAAATATGTATCCAGTTTTAACAGAAAAAGTTGTGAAATATATTTTGCCTTTTCCAATTTCATATTTATGTGAAGTCGCTTTTTCAGCATTCATGTAAAATAATTAAAAAGAAAAGATTATTGATTGTGAAATCGCATCTCAGACTAAAATTGACCGTGAGAGAACCGAATTATGATGAACCGTTATTACAACAAAAACAATATCATCCTTCTCACTGATGCAAATAAACTTATTAGCAAAACTTTATACCAAAATATAAAAGTAAACATATTTTTAAAAAATTGCATTCATTTTTTTTAATAGTGGTACACAGCGTTACGAAAAATTTAGAAGGGATACACAAAAGTCATAAGTTTGGGAAACACTAATTTATGCTAGCTCTGTTGAATTTTCCAGTTTAAAAGGGCTACTCGAATATTAATCCATGAAAATGCTTTTTTTTACTTAACTTATTGCTTATTCTGTATTTTAAATAAGTAGTGTTTTTTTAAAAAAATTTTTTATATGTATTCAAAAGTTTTTTTTTTGTCACAGGTAAATTTTATTAATTTATATTGTTTCGGAGTTGATTTAACATTGCGTTGTATGATGAAAGATTTAATAAAATTCGACATTATCCATAATGTCGCACGTGTTTCTCAATACACTTAAACAATTGATAATCTAAATAAAATAAAATAAATATCTACAATTTAGAATTAAGTTTAATCTCGATCATAATTAATTCTAGGATACATCAAATACTTAATTAAGTTTCTAACATTGAATAGTACAAAATTGCCTCTGCACCTCACTCCCTCTCCCTCTACATTAACTGCTGCGCTCAAACTTTCTTCTCCCTTTAACCTCCTCAAGTCATCCTGATTGGTCAGGGAAGAATATCCGTTTTCTTGATGAACAGTGTGCTGCTAAGTATTATCAGAATTATTTTTGTTTAGTTCAAAATTTAAATTTTTATCAAACAAAATAGTTGAGTTCCAATTGAATTGGAAACTAAATCTGTGAATACCAAATCTCTGATAATACAGTAAAAAATATTTTTAATTCTGAAGCAATAATCTCTTAATCAGTGAAAAAAGAAATGATTACATAAGTGACTGAAATCCCTTTAAAGAATGAACGGAATCTTTGAATGCATAAATGATGAATAAAATAAAAATTGTTCTTTTCCACAGAAGTAATTCCGACTAATCCGGGAGACATGTTCCAATGGATGCCAAAAGAACATATGTGTGTCCTTGTATACCTAGTAAGTTAAAATTCAAAAATTTCTCCTTTTTTTTTTCTCCCTCCGTCTCATGTTTTGATTTAGCAACACATTTTAGTTCCTTTACATACACAGATGCACCTGGAAAGTCATGAATTTCGGTATTGAAAGAAATTTGTCATGATTTTAACTGTTTAAAAAAAAAAAAAAAATCTAGAAAGTCATGGATTTAGGTCGACAAAAAATCTGATTTTCAAAATGGGTTTTACTCCTTTCCCCAATTTCACAGTGTTCGAATATCTGAATTTGTAACAAAATCCCCAGTCACAGTCATGTTTTATTAAAATATAAAGTGCTTTTTTCATGTTCTTTAAAAATTATGGTGTTCTTTTAAAAAATGAAGGAAAAAGCATCATTTCTAGAGCGAATTATCTTCTAGACTTCTATGATTTCAGAATTTTTATTACTTATTTTATCAATTTAAAATTCTAGCTGAAGTAAGCCAGTCATTGACAAATTATTTTTATTCCGAAATGAGAACACAAAAATCAGGAGTATTTCCTTCCTTTCCAATGAACAAGAAAAATTTCTTTAGAAGAAAATTTCTTCGTTTTCAATCAATTTAGTTGAGTTATTCATATAGTTGCCCCTGTGGCAGAATCATGGCGACATTGTCGCAGAATGTTACTGAGTTCTTGCAGAAAGATTTTTCATTTGGGAAGTAAAAAATTTTGGTTTTCTTTTCTGCAGAAAGTTTCGAAAACTTCTATCTTCTCTTCAGAATTACATTCAAAATTATATGCCATTGTTGCGCATTGGAGTGAGAAAAAAATGCTTGTAATTTTTCTACTTTCATTTGAGAATAATGAAGTAAAAAGTTTGGTTTTCTTTTCTGCAGAAATATTTGCTCTATTTTTTTTGGCAGTTATTGCTATTCACTTCCACATAGTTTGTAAAATCTGATATTATTTATTGCAGCTGAATCTTGAAATGAAAACACGCATGTAATCCCACTTTTTAAAGAGTTCGATTTGGCGGGATTTCGCCGTCGATCTCCCCCCCCCTTTTAGTTACTGCTATGAATTTCACTATTTTACCACGTTTATATAAACTTGCCTTCGTGTATGTCTGTCCGGGTGGAATTTTGTAATCGATTTTAAACTAACTTCCCGACTAGCTACAAACTTCAAATATAGCACACAGTTCAGAATTGGATGACAATGCATGAAAATGAAGAGAAAAAAGACATGCAAAGTAAAATAAAATTAAAATTTAAAAAAAAAATTATTTTCGAGATTGTCTTTTGTTGTCGATTCCATTATTTCAAATTATTACGTGTCAGGTGAAAAGATTTTTGTTGTCGGAGTATTTTTATTGGCTGAAAAATCACGTGGTAGGATCCAGTTTTTCCTCATTCATTTCCAGATTGTTTTGGTTGTCATCAGCATAAAACTAATGAAAGTCGTAAAGGTATTGTTTTTCTATAAAGATTTTTGTATCCCTAATTTAAAATAAAAGTTCTATTACTTTAGTAGTGGTCTTGTAGTAGTCTTGACTACTCTTGACTAAGAAAAATAATCTAAATAAAAATATATATTTTTAAAAACCACGTTTTTTGTAGTGAAGAATAATAATTAAAAAATAATAATTTTTTAAAAATATAAAATAAAAATTAAAAATTAAAAAAATCATAGTTTAAAATAAAAAAATTCAAAATAAAAAGTAATATTTTTAAAAACCACGTTTTAGTAGTGGAGAATAATAATTAAGAAAAAAATTGAAAAACGAAAAACGTGGGGCGCATGAAATACATAACAGTACATATACACATACATATACACATTTTCTTACTCATACACATGCACAGCCACATATACATCCACATACATATGCATATACAAAAGCATATTCCACATCCACATTCAGATACAATTACAATTACTGATATACATACACATATTCTCAAGAGCACACATACACACACTAATATAACATTACTGTTATGTATTTCATGCGCCCCACGTTTTTCGTTTTTCAATTTTTTTCTTAATTATTATTCTCCACTACTAAAACGTGGTTTTTAAAAATATTACTTTTTATTTTGAATTTTTTTAATTTGTTTTTAAATTTGATGATGAGTTACAAAGAAAGGAAAAGGAAATAATTAGTGTGTTTTCTCCCAACAAAATGCGAGAATATAGCTCATAACAATAGAATGAAAAATATTACGTATTCAATTTTAAAAATTACATTATTTTTCCAAAACGTTTTTTTTCTTTTGAAGTAGACACTTTTGTTACTTTAAATTAGTAACATATATATTTGTTATGATTAAAAGTATCTTGCAGAAAGATATTAATGCTGGAGAGATTTGTCGTAGAAAGCCCGAAAAAATTCTGCCACGGGGATAGTTGCCATGTCTATCTTTTTCCGAGTACGATTTCTTTATTCCATGAGGAATTCTCGCTATTGAAACAAACGAAATCAATGCTGATTATTTCTTATTTGATAATGGTAGATGAAGTTACACCATCTGCGTATACGTCACATGGCTATTATTTTCCAGTGCTGATCTCCTTACGCGGATATCACATGGGTGATATCGCCACTCTAAAGGCAATTATGCGGTATAGAGTTGCTGATAGGGTTGCTTAATTGCTCAAACTGTTCTATTTCATTACAGATTTTCTATAAAGAAATTTTGTGAAAAAAAATTCCAATGGGTACATAGATTTAAAAAAAAATTTTTTTTAGCTTAATTTATCTATTTTGATATGCGATTAAAAATGAATATTTTACTATAACAATATATAGATTAAATATTTCTTTTTTGATGAATGTCTACATTTATAAACACAATCTCTTACATTTATTTTGTCTTTTTAAAAATCAATAGAAGAAAAAAGGAAATTACAATTTTAAATTAAATTATGGTTTGCTAATTGAAACTTTGTTTTGATAGTTAAAGTATTCATTAAATTCTCTATTTCATCTAGTCTTTAAATTTCAATCATGCATTTGTTTCAAAATGGTTGTTATGCATTCAAAGCTATGTATTATAATGAAAAATTGTTTTAGGTAGTTAGATCTTCTAAAATATTGTTATAATATAGTTTTAATATTAATTTAATTTTGATTAAACATTTATAAAGTTTTTTTAAATTATAAATCAAAGTTCTTGCAGTGTATTTGAATAAAAATCAAAGAAAACTGATTTAAATTAAAAAAATCCGATTTAAATAAAGAAAATCTGACTTTTTTGATTTTTTTTTTAAAAAAAATCACAAACCTTGGTTACCAATTATTGTTACTTTCGGCCAATATTATTTTTTCATGTGATGCTATTATCTCATATTTTCTCAAGGGTATTTGTAAAGAAAAGAGGACGCTCTAGATTTGATATCCGTTTACATTTTATGTTTTAACTTAATTAATTTAATGTATTAACTCAACATTTCGTCCAATCATCCACTTCATCAACGTGGCTGTCATTTACATTTGTAAACGTCATCACATAGAATTGAAACATCATAAAGAGCACACAAACTGATGGTCCTAAGTGCGAATTACTCTTAATTATAGGCAATTTTTCTCTCAGTGGAGAGAAACAATTGATGATATTTCAGGTAACTGTGATTTCTATACAGACAAGATTGTGCTCCGGAAAAATTTCGGATTTTTCGCTAACCACGATCCGGAAGTTTCCGGATATCAAAGGTTCAGAAGTTTCAAGAAATCCTAGATCACATTTATGTATAATAAAAATTCTTGCACATTTTATTTAAAAGTATTAGAACTAGAATTTAAACTGGATATTTCTTTCATTTGTAAAAAACATTTTTCTGGTATAATAATAAATATGATTAGAGATAAAAGTAAACTTATAAAGAATTATTCATTTAAATTATGCTGCATATAATTCATTGAGAATTTCATGTTTTGAAAATATCAATGATTTAAATTTATAAGGACATTATTTTTTTGATCATTAATGCTTTTACTCAAGAAATTTTCAGGAATTTTGAGTTCGGCTCACAATCACCCCAGTCTATATCACACGAGGATTTTCGATCATTTTTTGAAGACGCTTATGGTTGACAGTTTTGTTGCCTATTATTTTCATAGTGTGATATTCCCATAAAACTGTTATGCGAATGACATACCTATTTAATGCTTTGAATCAACCTGATATCTCTTTTTGAGGGCCTCTTTCATTATGTAACTATAAAAAGCCTATACATCCGGTGGAAACATTTAATTCATGTAATATTTTCAAGAGGTCAGTTCTGGTAATTAATGACTGCACAGAAAGCTGTGCATGATATCACCTTTCTTGGGCCTAGGAATGTTTTGCAAAAATCAGTTATCTTTGCATCATGTTTTTTAATCAGCTGTTGATTTAAAGATTTATTTTAATTATTTCTTATACAGTCAAACCTCGATATCTCGAACTTGAAGGGAGAGAAGAAAAAATGCGAGATATCAAAAATTCGAATTATTGAAAATCGCATGTTATTGATGGCAGAATAAAGAAAAATGCTCTTTACATACCTTATTTACTATTCCATATTTATTCTAAAAACACTTTTTACACTTTCATTTAAAGTAAGATTCAATTGTTGTTTGCTTTAGAAATGTGTAAGAAAGTTTGTCTATAAAACTATCTAAGTGGACTATAGCTTTAAATGTCTCCTCTGACGTATTCGTCTGCCTCTCAATAAATCTCCTTACAGTGTCCACTGCAGAAAGTGCTTGTTTGTTAGTAACATTGGGCAGTAAATCTTCGATTTCCTTATCCTCTTCTTCTGATAGTTCACAAGAAGCTTTTGTTTGAGCGTTGGTATCATTGTCATCCCACTGACCACAGACTGTTACTGCATCATCTACGTTTACAAAGTCATGAAATTCGATGTCATCAAGCTCCATGAGTCCGTCAATCTGTTCCAATCATTTTCGGTGAAATTTTCAGCAGAATTAAGGATATTGATTGTTTGACTACTTTCGTGATCTTTAATGAATCCAGACTTCTTGAAGCCATTTATTATCGTAGAGGAAGACACATCATTCCATGCCTTGTCAGCCATTCTTAAAACTTTTTATTTTTTTTTGGAATATTTTTTTAATTTTAGAAAAAAAATCTACACTATTTATGGAAAAAAATTCAAGTTATCGAGGGATTAGAAAATTTTTTTTGTGAAATCAAGTTTTTTTTAACAATGAGTGTATAGGAAATTTGAAGGGAATTTTTTTTCTTCGATATTGAAAAATTCGTGAAATCGAGGTTCGACTGTATAAGCAATTTGTAGTGAACCTGTACTGCTTTAAATCATCTGATATTCAAACTGAGTATACTTATAAATACAAAAACTAATGAGTGTTTTGTTTTTAAAATGTAATTTAGGTAACCGTTCTTCATTCTATGCAAGCTGGTTATATGGATAAGGCGCAAAAATATACAGACAAAGCTTTGATGCAAATCGAAAAGTTGAAAAGTGAGTACTGTTTTGAGTACTGAGTGTGAGAAAAGTTTTTAAAGTTACAAATCACAAAATTTTTAGGATCTGTCTATAATGTGAACAATATTTTAAATGTTTTGTTGACCAGCTGAATACCCGTTCTTCTTGCAAGATAATAAATAAATAAATAAATTTTAAAAAAGCAAGAATTATTATTGAATCACAAATAACTAACACTACACAATCATGCGCAAAACTTAAAACATCATAACAGTTAGGAAAGTTAGTTTTAATTATTGATTATTGATTTCAGTTAGTTTTAATTATTGATTGACTGAAACAAGCTGTAACAGTCTAATTTAACAATGATTTTGAGATAATTTTTTGTTTTTTTATCTTATATTGTACATATTTTAATCTTCATTTTATCATTCTACAAATAAAAATTAGCATTTACATAATTGTAACATATTTCATTTACATGATTGGCATTGTCTGGACTATATTTCATCGCTGCTGTATAGATATGCTGTATTAATCATCATTGTAAGGGAGATACATTTTATATTTGCACCTGATTACAAAAATCATCAGCATTGGCACGACAGCCCTTTGTGAGCCTGGCCCTTCCTCAGAAGCTTTTCCCATGCTGCCCTTCTCCCAGCAATTAATTTCCAGTTCTTTACTTTTAGGATGGCAAAATCCTCATCCACATAGTCTTTTCATCTCTTTTAGGGCCTTCCTCTTGGCCTTTTATTGGAGGGGGTTGCATTAAAGACTCTTAATGCTGTACGTTCTGGGGTACGTTCTGGGGCCCGGCCCATCTCATTCTACTTAGTTTAATAGATTTAATGATAACATCACTATTAAAGATTTTATATATTTCAAAATTATATCTTTTCCTCCAGTTGTTGTTATCGAGGATAGCGCCAAAGATGGTTTGTAAGACCTTCCTTTCGATGGTTACTAATAACTTCTCTTCACTTTTTGTTAAAGTCCATGTGTCTGAAGCATAAGTCAAAACTGACTTGATTAATGCCTTATAAAGTAAAATCTTCATCTTTTTTTTTATTACGTGAGATTTCAATAATGATTTTAAACCATAGAAGCAGTGATTGGCTATGATTATTCTTTTTCTGATTACAAATAAAAATTAGCGCTTACATAATTGTAACATACATGATTGGCATTGTATGGACTATATTTCATTGCTGCTGTATAGATATGCTGTATTAATCATCATACCATGTAATATTAAGTTTTTTTAAAGGAGATACATTTTATATTCGCACCAGATTACGAAAATCATAGTTTTTATAAATGGCATCATACATACATCATTTTATTTTTTAATGGCTGGCACACCATTACTCTAATTTAACAATGATTTTGTAACGATTTTTTTTTATCTTGCATTGTACACATTTTAATTTTCATTTTATCATTTAACAAATAAAAAATTTTTAAAAATTTACATTTACATAATTGTAACATATTGCATTTACATGATTGGCATTGTATGGACTGTATTTCATCGCTGCTGTATAAATGTGCTGTATTAATAATCTTACCATGCAATATTAAGTTTTTATAAAGGAGATACATTTTATATTCACACCAGATAACAAAAATCATAGTTTTTATAAATGGTATCATGCATACATCATTTTATTTTTGTAATGGCGGGCACACCATTACCCACAACCACTGTCCCCGACACCAGTATAGTGACCACTAAATCAGTGGTCTTTTTTGTTATTTATCTTTTGTTTAATAAATGGGCTTAATGAATAAGTCACATTTGTTTTGTTTCTGAACTTTTATTTGCCATTGTCCTTAATTTATGGACATGAGTATACTTTTGGCTTCCTTCCAGGTGATTTCTTTTTCTTTAGACATGGGAGAAACAAAAAGTTCCTCATTTTCTTCGTCCCCATCAAGGAAAATGAAGCGAAATATGACTGGGTTATTTATTTATTTTTTTTACTAGACTCCATGCGTCCTCAATATGTCAAAAGAAGGCATCTCTTATTGTGAATTGTTTCTGGAAACCTTTCATTCCATTTCCAGAGTTGCAAAATTCCAAACACTTTTGAATGAATGATGCTTTAGGTTGCATTTTAATAAATGAAATATGCATCGATTCATCGGTTGTAGCAAAGACGTACCATTATAGGGTAAAAAAATTCATTCGAAAATTGTGCTGTGTGTGTTTGTTTTTGACAGCTGGTACTAAATATTTGTCAAACCTATCTCTAAAAATATCTAAGGATACCGAAGTGTACCTGTTATTTCAATTAATAGGTAGGATTTTGAAATTTTTTTCAAACTTGGAAATTTTTTAAAATTGTTACGTAAGTTTTTTTTTTGCCACATATTACCATAACAGTTTCATAACATAAGTGTTTGGCAATCTCATCAGCATTATGAACTAGTTTTAAGGTATATTGGCTCCTCAAAAATTTCTTTCATACATTATTCAGTACTTTTGCAGGGTATTTATTGAAATAAATACTCTAAATTCATATCATGTGACAATCACAAATGTGCATGAAACACTTTTGTTTGGGCAATAATTATAGAACCATTCTTATTTCTCCTTTCCTTCAGCACTTCATCCAAATCCCGATTTCTTGGCTGTTTTTTTATTCATTTTGCTTAATCGCTATTATTGACGAATTCTTTTGTTGTTTTTAAATTATGTTGTCTTTTCATATTTTTGACAATTCAATATTTTTGTATAGTAATCTTATAAGAATAGACTATCGAAAAATTTAATAATTTTTTTCCTTTCAATTTTTTGAAAATTTCGCTGTGTTGATCTCTCTTAAAAAAGAACTAGAGAGCTGCAAGCTAGCAAAACACCGGTGATGTTATTTTTCAAATTATAATTAAAAGTAAGAACTGCAGTTTTAGTTGCAACAATGTTGTTCATTTTTTAATTGCCTTTTCAATCAAAAAATTACAATTCTTTCAATTTTTTTTGCAATATTAGCTAAGCTCTGTTTCATGATTCTTACGCATGGAATTATAAGAGGGATACTCAGACTCTACCTTTTAATAAATAAAAATATTAGTGGATCTCTCTAATATACAGAATCCCAAGTATTTGCTCCATCTTTACTGCTGAAGCTGCTGCCATTCTCTTGGCACTGCGGCTGATTTACACTCGCTCTACAAGGAAGTATTGCATATACTCCGACAGTATGAGTGTTTTGAGGCAGTTGGAAAATTTTAACAGTGATACTCATCCGATTTTATGTTTTATTAATCACTTGTTTATAACCCTTCACCAAAATAGATTTCATATTTCATTCTGTTGGGTACCGAATCACGTCGGTATTCCAGGGAGCGACTTGGCTGATTCGGCTGCACGCTCTGCTACCTCTGTTTTAAATTTATCTGTACCTTTCTCGGACACAAAAACTTATATTCGACAGTTCATCGCATCTGTTTGGCAACAACAATGGGGTCTAAAAATTTATAACAAGTTACACTCAGTAAAAACAGATTTTAACCCTTATCCTGTATTGAGTCTGCAGCATGCAGATGTAAAATTAAACCATCTCTGAATCGGCCATACTCGGCTGACCCACCTACATTTGTTATTTGGGGAACCTCCTCCCCAATGCAACACCTGTAAAGTTTTACTCACTATTCATCATATTTTAATCATCTGCCCAAGTTTTAACTGTCATCGTCTAACCTTTTTTGGTAGTTCTATTTTAACTCTGCAGGATTTGTTAGGTGACTCTCATTATCCTAATATTTTTGCGTTTTTATGCGCAATTGGTCTTTTATACTGTATATAACTTTTTTATCCTATTCACAATTTTATCTGATTTTATTCAGCTTTGAATGCAACTGTTTCATAATGCTTTACTACATTTACATTTTATCTGATTTTACTCGCTTTTGTCTGTCACGCTGTATCTAGTTTTATAAATTCCGTGTGACTTTTAATGAGGAAAATTTGTTATATGCATTTACCTTTATTTTAAAATTGTTTGTTTGGCGCAGCATGTCCTTCTTTGGAGCCATTAAACCCTACATTCAATCAATCAATCGGACCTCTCTAATAAGAAAAAAAAATTGCTCGGCTGCTGTACCTGTGACAGGAATCACATAAATAATTGTAATTTTTCCATGTGATCCACAAATTATTTTCTTTATTTTTTTTCTTTATCGTTTTTGATGAATTTGGTTAAACGCCTGAAGTGGTGTTTCGTAAAAAATGTACAGTGGCATGATTATAGTGATATAAATATATATAAATGAATTTAAGAATATATAGTGTGTCTGCATTTATCTCAATGTAAATTTTAAATGTCATGAATATTAAACATTGCTCCAATTTTTTATGTTTGAGCATAAAAGAGAAGTTTTTGTATATTACTATTAGGTTAACAATGACATTAAGTTAACTTTTATCTTATTCTAGAGTTCATCCATGAGTCAAGAATTAAATAAGTAACATATTAAATACAAGAAATCTTAATGAATCATGTTGTTGTTGTTTCTGATGCCACTTGCAACCAAGCAAGCCTGCTTGGTGAAACCGAGCAAATTTAAGGCAGAGTGTGCGTTTCTTGTTTTTCAGCGGCGCCATCCTATGGCTAAGAATTCGTCTTCAGCCACACACACGTCACAGCCCGTTTTATAGGGCAGACCCATTCACACATCCGTTAATTTATTCACAGATCGTCACTTTTACCTGAATCAGAGAACAATTGATCTCCAATCCGGTACCCCCAGAGGTATTGATTTGTTATGGGAATAAGGAGGACTTTGCGACTCGACAGATTTAACGTGTATCAGTCACCATTTCATACACGGGTAGTCTTTGGCCGAAGGGGTTTGACCCACAAACTCCCGGACATGGGCCCTGCGCCCTACCAGCCAGTCTATCCTGCCCTTAATGAATCATATTAAGGGTTAGCAAAAAGCTAGTTTGTTTTTTAAAAAAGCACAATGCATGTTTGTTTTTTTAAATTTTAAACCGTGATTTTGCCTTACCCTGAATTCTATCAAAAATAATGCTTTTAAATTTAGGTAAATTAAATACAGTCTCAATTTAATTTATATAAGAAAAACTTTCCTGCTGGTTTTACTTAGTGCATTATTTGAAATTCTTTCATAAATGAGATTTTTTATTCTTTAATTCTTTATAGTGATTGACAGTGTTTTTTTTAAATTGTTTACAGTGATTGACAGTCATCCCATATTACACAGCTTCCAGTTACTTCTTTTGGAGCACATAGCCATGTGCCGACTTGTTATGGGAAATAAAACATTGGCTATACAAGAGGTAACATTCCTTTCTTTCAAAATGGCACAATATTATTCTGGAAATGGCACAGAAACTTTCTGAATCAATCCATATTCTTTTCTCTGACGGATCATGTTTTTTTGTTCATCCTGACAATAGGTTTTTCAGGGTGGCCACCCACCTTGAAAACCTGGAATTATCAGGGAATTTTTTTTTATACTGGAAAAAACCTGGAAAAGTCAGGGAAATTTTGTTAACAACCTGGAAAAATCAGGAAATTTTAAAGAAAAGCTGGAATTTTTCTTAATTTGAATTAGTTAACCATCCGTTATATCCATTTTATTTAGACTGAAATTTATCGTCAAACAGTTGAAATATCATCAACTTAGTAATACTTTGCATGCATTAAAATTCTTTCCATTATTACCCTGCTAAACTAGAATTTAGCATAATTACGAAAAAAAGTTATTAAATTTAAGGAAATATTGCTTAAATATGAGTTTTATTTACATTGTTGTTAATATATCTTGCATAGTTAAAATTAAAATTAGTGATTTTTCAAATAACTTTTACCAGATGGAAAATTGTATAAAACACATTGATCCATCCATTCCAGCAGGAAAAGGAAGGCAATTAAAAAAAAAAAAGTTGGGTGACTGTATTTGCTATTTGGTACATTTTGTGCAAAAACTACAAAACTAGCACTTCAAAGCATTTTTTATTCATTAAAAGTAATATATTTTACAAGCTAAACATATTATATTTTCTTCACATCTATGCATACTATTCACATTAAAAAAATAACATTTTAAATAAAATACTTTATAATATTGACACTTTTCTTGTACCCACCTGCACTTTATGAGAAAAGAAAACAGGTTGACCTGGAAATTTTAAGATTGTTACTGGAAAACCTGAAAAAATCAGGGAAATTTGAAACTTGATTTGAGTGGCCACCCTGTTTTTTTTATCTGGAGGGAATGTGGCACTGGAAGCAATTCTGAGTTGTGCAGAAAAGTGTAAGATTTGGACGGTGGGGTCTATGCTGGCATCTCCATTGACGGGGCGCGGATCTCCCTATCATTCAAAATGTAGCTCTGACCGGTCGCCGATGTAGGGGTGAGATCCTGAGACTTAAATGGATAACAATTGCAGATGCTAACTTTGTGAGCGATTTCCTTTTGGAGGAAGGAATCATACGAATAGATTGGCCAGCGTGTTTCCCGGACATGAACCCAATTGAACATGTTTTTCTGACATTCTAGGCACGCAAATTGCTGGATGCCTACCACCCCCACTAGCTTTTCAAGAACTAGAAAGAGCACATCTGGAGGAGTGGGGCAGCCCATTGTCTCGACGCCTCAAAGGTGTTCAACATTGCTGACCGTCTGGGAAAACCATACACCCGACTAAATATGATTTTCTTTTAAGAAAACACCATTTTTTATTTGTTTTCCTCATATGCATCTAATGTGCTTTTTTCCTTCTGTACCCAAATGCACAATAAAACGCATTTTTTTCCTGCCAAACGAAAGTCATTTTTATCTCATACAGTCATCGTCTGTCGATAATGTATCCATAGCTGCCAACTGTTCAGAATTTTTCGGATTTGTTTCTAATTTTCAAATCAAATCTGGTATTTTTATAAAAAATTTGAATTTTCGTGAAACTGCAGTATTTTTGCTTTTAGACCAGTCTCTTGTTCTGATCACCTCAGGTGCGCTTCCTGTGTTTATTTTCCAGAAGTTATTTTTTGTAGCGTTTTATTGGAAAATACTATTCCAATAGCTGTTGCTGATCACTTCACTAAATTGAATCTTGAACAACTACAATTATTTTTTAAAAAATGTTTTGTAGTATTCAGAAATATTTGTTTATGATGTAGTTTAATATTTACCTGTGTTTTATAATTTTGAGAAGAATAATTAAATATTAATAGGTAATGGTTGTTTCTTTAACTATTATGCCGGTATTCCTAATTATTAAATAATATTAATATTATGAATTTCCCTCAAAAGATGGGAGTTTATAGTTTTGTTTTACTAATTTACATAAGGTATTCAATGATATTGCTATTAATGTTATTATTTAATTGTTAAATTTTTGTCGTACTCTCGTGATTGGTGCGTATAATTTTGTTGCACGTAGTGTTCCTGAATTTTGATTCCTAAGGTTGGCAGCTATGCGTATCAATCATTCAAACGTTTCTCCAGGTGCAAGATCAACACACAACCTTGAGCAGTGTATATTATAAAATTCATCATTTCTCTGAAAGTCTGCTATTCACTTTGCTTTGACAGGGTATCCGCTCTCCTGGAAAGTCATGAAAAATCATGGAAAGTCATGAATTTCGGTATTGAACAAAATTTGTCATGATTTTTACTATTTTTTAAAAAAAATCATGGAAAGTCATGAATTTAGGTCTCTGAAAAATCTAATTTTTAAAATGGAATCTCCCTCCCCCCAATTTCTTCCTGTTCAAATATCTGAATTTCTAACAAAATCACCACTCAGTCATATTTTATTTGAATATAAAATGATTTTATCATGTTCTTTAAAAATTATGGTGTTCTTTCAAAAAACGAACAAAAAAAATATCATTTCTAGAGCGAATTATCCTTTAAACTAAGAATTATTATTATTATTTTTTCTTAATTTTATAAATTTAAAATTCTAGTTGAAGCAAACCAGTTATTGTCGAATTTTTTTATTCTGAAATGAACGGAAAAATCAGGAGTATTTCTTTCCTTTCTGATGAACAAAAAAAGTATCTTTAGAATATAATTCTGCAGAAATTTTTTTTTTTTTTGCTTTTGTATTTTTTTCAGCTTTTTTATTGTTTTAACTCTTTCCTTACTCTGTTTTTTAAGTTTAAAATCTGTAAATATGAAGATGAAGAGTATAATAGTTTTGGTTCTACCTATTTCGAATAATGTTGTTATAATGCTCTTTTTAATTTATTGTTGCGTTTTTGTTGGAGAAAATAGCAACTTCGTTAAGTCATGAAAAAATTCTTGGAATTAGTCATCGAAAATCATGAAAATCTAAAATGTAGCAGATACCCTGCTTTGACCTAAATTAGGAGTAGTTGGTACAAGTGTTGAGACGCAATGAATGCTGATTTAGCCTAATATCAAACATCTCATATTCTGCCTGCATTCGTGACTACCGTGTAATGAAGTTATTTTTCTCTGAACGTAAAGTATGACATTCAAATTTAGGCCAAATTCTTAAATATTTTGAAATTGATGCTTATAAAAAAAAGGATTAGATGAAAAATATTCATCTGTATGTAATGTTTTTTGACAGGGATGGGAGGAAATCAAAGGATAGTTCATATGAAATAACATAACTCACTCTACTCATTATTTTGCTTCTGTACTGCAGAGATGATTGCGCTCCGGAAAAAATCCGGATTTTTCGGTAAAGTCGATTCGAAAGTTTCCGGAAATCAGAGGTCCAAAAGTTTCTAGAAATTAATGATCACATTTATGTACAAGGGGTGATCAAATGAAAAGGTATGAAACGACATGGTGGGTACAAATGTAGACTTTATTCAAAATATACACCATAGGCCTGAACACAACGATCCCACTGATGAACAAGCCGCAGGATTCTTTGTTCCCAGAAGTCCTGTGGCCGTGACGAGACCCAGTCCATCAGCGTCCTCGAGTACGTCGTCCGAGTTGAAGCGCTTGCCTTTCAGGTGTCTCTTCAATGGACCAAACACAGGGACATCGCAGGGCGACATGTCCGGACTGTAAGGCGGATGGTCCAACGTCTCCCACTTGAACTTGGCCAGTCCCATGTATGTGACTCTGGAGACGTGTGGACGTGCGTTATGATGGAGCAGAATCACACCCTCTATGAGCAGCCTTGGTCTTTTGTTCTTTATGGACCTGCGTAGGCGTCGGAGTGTTCAGATGTCAGATATCAGATAACACCTCGCTGTTCCTCAATCGTCGAATTTTGTAACGCGAACGCCATCCTGTCCTCATATGGACTGCTGTATCATTTGGACGCCGCTTTTGATAAGAGTCTCTGCTCTCTCCTGTGCATGCATGCGCCCGCGCGTGCTCCGATCCCAGTCAGAGACATCAATCGTATCCCGAGATGTCTCGCTACATTCTCCAATGGCGGAATATGCAAATATTTAACTGTTACATTTTTACGTCGTTTGTACCTTTTCATTTGATCAGTCCTTGTATTAAAAATGTTTTTTATGTTTTATTTAGAAATATTAGAACTCGAATTTATGCTTGGCGTCTCTGTTAAAACCAGATAAAACCGTCAATTGTTGTTGTGTGTCATTATGATATTCTTTTAAAGTGCTTAAAAATATTATTAGAGTGCTTAAAAGGTGCTTTATTTTTTGTTTGATAATTTGACTACGCACCCTGGTTAAGATTATATTTCTTTTGTTAAACAGGCTTCTCATGCTCTGCAGATATGTAAGCAAGAACCTAGATTGTTTCACCGTCATAGACCACAAATCAATGCATTGTTGGTAAGTCTGTTTTTTATATGCATTTTGGAATATTCCTTAAAATCAGAAAAGTTCTTTTTTTTACTTTGATTATTGTTGTTTTTAAACAAATAATAGTATAAATTATTTATTTTTTATATTATTTATATATTTATTTTCTTTCGATGCGAAAACCTGCTAAGGGCAAAAGAAGGAATATGTAATTTTTTTCAAGGTATATATTAGGGGTGCACAACCTGCAGCCCGAGGGCCTCTTGCGGCCCTCCAACTATTGATATGCAGCTCGCGAGAGCTTCTAAAAGGAAAATATATATATATATATATATATAAAAATAAAATAATAGATCCCGACTTACAGATG